AGTGTAATTGGGAATTTTGATTTTTGATTTGATTTCCCCCCACAAATTGAGCTCATTCTCCAGCATTTATTGTTTTAATTATAAATTATATTTCCCGACACAATGGCGCCAGACCTTGTCTGTTCAGTATGCAGAGAACCATTCTTACACCTTGTGAACAGACTAATAAAGCTTCTCACATGTTGCTGACTGTCCAGCGCAGACAGAGCTGAACCTCTGCAGCTCAAAAACCTCCTGTCTTCTCCTGGATGATTTCATCATGACCATTTGTGCTTTGCATGTGACACTAATCTAAAATGGACAATCTGACACTTCTCACAACAGTGCCAGTTCTAACAATGGGGAAAATGTATATAAAGTCAGTGGAATTTATGTATGCATTTTTTMCACTATCCTTTTCCATTTTTTATTTAATATTTTTCTTTTAAAATCAAAAACAAAAGATTGCAATTGAAAATTTCCAGTCCATTTTTGTGATAAATAGATAACATTTTTTGACAGCAGTGTATATATATTCTTGTCTGGCTCATTACAATCCTTATTAGTTAACATTTATGCAAACAATATTGTTTGACATTTTGTTAAAAAGATTGAAATACCAAACATTCAACCTCCCCAAGGCAGTTGGTCCTTATTAAACTGGTCTAAGCAGTGCAACGTCTCTGCTGTGAAAGATCATCCACAGCAGGTGTATGTCTTCATGTSGGACTGAAAATCAGTGACATTCTTTAGCACAATTTATGAGGAACATTATTATTGCACTAAAGTATCAACAGCACAGAGCTGGGAGCTGAAAGAAAAGAATAAAATACTGTACTGATTGTCATACATTCGAATTCCCTGCTGCGGTGTGGGCATGTGCACCAATTTAAGGCAAATTCAGAAAAACCTAAATCCTTTAAGTGATGACTCATTTTCTTTCGTTTAGAAAAAAAGGCAAAGTTTTGTGTGTTGATTTGAAAATACAAGTGCTCTGTGTGAAGTAATGACAGCACTACATGTTGAAGTCTACTCAAAAACACAGAAAAAAGAAACATGAAGCCACAGAAAAATAAATTCCACCAATCAAATGTTGATTTCAGATCAAACCAGCCCAAAATTAGAGTTATTGATTAAATTTAAAGAAGCGTGTACAGAAAATGGATGGATGGATGGATTTCTGCAGGCGTTTCTATAAACCTACCAAAACAGAACTTGCAATTTATCATATTTAACTGAATTTATTCCCTATTTAGACCCTGGCTTTGACACAATTATGCTTCACTTGTCATGTGCATAGGTGTTTAAAGTACTTGAAAGAAATGATTAAGTAAAAGTAAAAATACCTTAACAGAAAATGATTGTCATATAAAGGGTTTTCACTGATAAGAAAAGTACCTAAAAGTCATAAAACTGCTCATAATAACCAGGAAAGTAAAAGTACTTCACACTCTAAAAAATGAAGTATTGAGTTACTTAACCAAGTCATGTTAACTGGTTGCACTAAAATGAGTTGAATAAAATGAGCAATTTACACCTTTACACAACTCTATTTAGCAGAACCAGTTGACATAACTTGGTTAAGTAAATTCAACCCTTCACTTTTTAGGGTGCACAAACCGCTCACTTCATCTGTTTAATGTGTAACTAGGTGTTAAATTTTAAAGTAAAGAGTAAAAGTATCATTTTTATGTTTTGAATGTACCAAAAGGTAAAAGTTATATATTGTAAAATTACAAATCCTCAAAAAAAATTACTTAAGTACAATAACAAAATAAATGTACTTAGTTACCTAAGTACATTCCTGATAACAAATTTAGCTGCTTTAAATAATGAGTCTGATTTGACAAATATGCTGCTTGAAATGGGTTATAAAATCTGCCTATCCTGGCTAAAAATGGTGAGAGACCAAAAGAAGAATTTACTACATCATTTAGCTGCTTATTACCTAGTTAGGTCTTGTCAAAAGTTAGTTGTCCACTTTAGGTACAACCCACCCCTTTTGTTTTTATCTCTACATAATTTCCCTCTTTTTTGATCTCTTTAATAACTTAAAATATGGAGTGACATACTGTATAGAATAGACAGTATATATTTTGCAAGAAATGTCTGTTAAAAATATCAGTAATTTGACCATGGTTAGACAATGAGATCAAAATGAATCACAATTGAATGCATGAGGTTTGATAACTGGTAATTTTTGCAATAAAGTGTTGAAAGCATTTCTCCAAAATAACCCAACAAACTGTTTTTTTTTATTATAGCTTCAAAAATATTTTCAGTTAATCAGTCAGTCTACTGTAACTGTTTAATAGTTTAAGGAAAATTACTGGGGAAATAATTTGTGCAACAACTGAAAAAAACAGTGACTGAAAAATTATAAAAGTTATGCTTTATTTGTTTCATTGAGGTTTTATTGCTTATTCATTATATTCAGTCTTTTTTTTTCTTGATCAATGCCATCAAAAATATGTGCTGCAAATCAACAAAACAAGTTTGAATAGCAAAAAATAAATAAAAAAATGTTTGGTTAATACAAGACAAATACTTGATCCATTAATTCTCAGACTTTCCAATCAGCAAACTGCTCTGGTTAAAACAAATGATCCCCAAACTCAGAGGAATCATTTATTTATCAGGCTGTGTACCGCAATTAGAAAATTACACCAGACAAGGTTGTGTTTCTTATACAAAAACAGGCCCAGAGAAAAGCCCACAGAGGCATCTGAACATGCATAAATGAAGTCTGGAGGTTGTATTCCCAGCAGTTTATCTATCRTACCCATCAAGACGTGGAGCAGGTGTTACTTAGACAGCCTAAAATTTATGAATCACATTTTATGAGATCACTGGTCTCATTCAACTGCAACCGGCGTTTCAAACATCTGTAAGTGATCATAATTTCACTTCCATTAAGTGCACATTAGCCAGAGCATTACCAGCTGAGAAGAAAGCTGTCGTGTAATGCATCATTCGGAGAAAAAACTTTAGCTGAATAAATTCCAGATCAGTTAAAAACAAGTGCTTTGGTGCATTACAGCTATTACAGCACTACCTCTGATTGTATATATATGAAAAAAAAACTTTTTTTCCTTCTTGTGTCGTCTCTTTTGGTGTAAAGTTTTGTTTGGTGTCTTCACGCCCTCCCCAAAAGTGAAATTCTTTGGTGAATGCGACAAAGTCAGACGTAAAACGAACAGTCATTCAGAAACTTTCAAGCTCAGGGACCCGAAAACCAACAGGCACATTTATTATTATTTATGTAAACATGTCACCCTCCTGTCTAATGAGCCTTTCACCGTTAGCATAATAAAACAGCTTGCATTAGCACGGGCTAAATGAACAGCCGAGCGCTCCCGTGTCTGTGCAGCAAGATGAAAGCAGATGTTCCACAAGCCAAATGCCAGCATAACAAACTAAGTCCTGCGAAGGAACAGAAGGGACTTAGAACCAGYAACATTCTCATCAGCTCATTGACTCTATTAGAAAATCCCCCTGGTTCAACAATATTATGTGAGAGCAACACYTAAATGAGCCATGACCAACTGACCATGAATGAGCCCACAGATTGATTTTTTTCCCCTCTGTTCCCCTCCTATAAACACATTAGTGATGTACAACTAATGAACTTGGAGTCAAAGCAGATGTCAATTATCAGACACATGAAAGGTGGTGTAAACAGTTCAAAGAAAGGTTTGAAYGAAACAAGAAAAGCAGAACCAAAGCTGAGACATAGGCAGAAAATATGAACCGAAAGACATTTTGATTCTGTGTGCAGGTGAAGAAAATCTGTGTGGGAACTTAAATGTGGTAAAGTGACTTTAAATCTCAAACCTAAGTGAGCAGGAAGGAKGTTTTTATTTTCATGTTCACACAAATGTTTGGATTTATATCTTTAAATACATATTTTACTCAGGTAAAAAGTTACTGAGGTACAAAATCTCAAGTCTTTTAAGAGAGACCAGGACATAATATTATTATTAAAGAGGGCAACTCCAAACAAAATGTTACCCATCCTTTGCCGTTTTTTTATAGCTATTTACAAATGTAATAACACTAAAAAACAGCCAAGAAAAACACATTCTGATGTGAAAATTCAAGAAATTATTCATTTATTATAAATGCACAGTAGCTAAATGTGTAATGCATTTGATTTGACAGTGATTTAAACACTTTGATAAAACTTGCCAAAATAAATGCAGGACTTCCAAGGAGAAGGAATAGATAAAGCTTTCAGTTCTTTACACTGCCTTTCTGAGTCTTTATGCWGCTGCAGAGAATTTTAAAAGCTGAGATCCAGAACACACAGTCATTCTGTGTACTTTATGAATCACATAAAATAGGTTTTAAAATTAAACAACTCAACTGTGTGCTTTTTAGTCCTACAGTTGTTTGCACTTCGTAAGAAATCCATGTAGTGTGCATTATGTGTGCTTTATAATCCAATCTCTTGAACTTTAAGCCTATGGTGACAACAGCACAGGTATATCTTTATTTTATTTGTGTACTYATAAACACTTTAAAAGAACCTGTTGGGGTCCTCCAATTGGATGTTTTTAAGACTTCCCAAGGTTTTTTTCTGAACTTGAGTGTATTTTTAAGCACCTTGATCATGAAATAATCCTAAAACCAAACTAAAGCTTGATACTTCAGTCTCTTTGGGAGAAGTTTAAATCTCTGATAAAGACCTCTGAAACTGAAGCGCGGAGACTTTAATCCTCACTTTGTACTGAACTTGACTTCTTTTATTTTGCATTTTGATCGTATTTGTCATTTGTAGCTTGTAACTTTGTTTTGTCATTTTTGACCAGGTCTCCCCTTGATAAAGACATGCTAATTTTAACAAACTGATTAAATGAAGGGTTTATGAATAAATGTTAAAAGTTTGTGTTTTTTCAAGTTTGTTTCTATATCAGATAAAAGTATATTTTGTAGAAGAAAAGGAGTGCAAACGTCAGAAACATCCACTGAGCCTCGCTTGAGGGGCTTTAATAAACAGCAGGAGTGGGATGAGGACTTACTTGTACCAGTCCAGCCCCTTCTCGTAGTTCCTATCAAAGAAATGCGGCTCGTTTCCAACGGCTCTGACGTCCGGGTGGACCCTGAGAGCCTCCAGCAGGGCTCGGGTCCCCCCTTTCTTCACGCCGATGATGATGGCTTGGGGCAGCTTCTTCTCGCCGTAATCCGAGGTGCAGTTCGCCCTGAGTTCGCTGTCCGTGGTGCTGATCTCCTGGCGGTCCCTCTCCAGCCCCGGCGTTGGAGACGCCTGCATCCTAATCCACTCCGCCGTCCTCTGCTCGGCCCCGGCCCCGGCATGGCTCTTCGCCGTGGGGGACGAGGTCGTCCCCTCAGCTTCGGTGAACTCCACGAATCCCTGCGAGGCCGAGTAAAGTTTCTCCCTCAGAGTCACAAAAGTTGTATCCTCCGTCACCAGCCTGCCCTGATACACGTAGTTCTCTTGCAGAGGGAACTGCAGCGAGTTGTAGCAGCTCATCAAGCTGTAGAACAAGTAGGTGACAGAAAGGGAGAGGGTGAACATGAATAAGATTTTCCGGGGCACTTTAGAGGTGAAAACCGAGGTGCTGGACCAAGATGCCATCTCTGACAGCAGGGATCCTCTCAAAGAACTGGCCAGACATGTTTCCACCCCGAGTCTTGCATGGACAAAATCAACRGGAAGAATCAGTCACTATCAGCCGCTGCTCCAGCTAAAAACGCATCAAGCTGGACCAAACCATCCCAACCCATCCGCATGGCATCTCTGCTAAGGATGGCAGGGGGAAGAAGAAAAAAAAAGGGGGGGGGGATCCGGGAGAAAACACTGCCGTCCTCTTTTCTTACTCCAAATCTGACAGACAGTGTCACAAATTTACTGGAGTGAAGTTGCAGATTTGAGAGGCTGGTGGTCTGGCGCCCTACCAGATGAGCAGCCTGGCTTTAAGTGGACAGTGTTTGATGGAAAAAATCCTGGCATGTTATGAAGAATGGAGGGAGAGAGAGAGAGAGAGAGAGAGAGAGAGAGAGAGAGAGAGAGAGAGAGAG